CCATGTATAGTAAGGCGTTTTTAGCCGAAAAAAAACGACCATGTATAGTAAGGCGTTTTGAGCCGAAAAAAACAACCATGTATGGGAAGGCGTTTTTAGCTGAAAAAAACAACCATGTAGAGAATGGCGTTTTCAGCCGAAAAAAAACGACCATGTTTTGTCAGGTCATTTTAGCCCCCAAAAAAGGATCATGTATAGTAAAGCATTTTTACCCGAAAACAACGACCATGTATATTAAGGCGTTATTTTCCTGAAAAAAACAACCATGTATAGTTAGGCATTTTTTACTGAAAAAAACGACTATGTTTAGTAAGGCGTTTTTTTTTTTTCCTGAAAAAAAAAAACGACCATGTATAGTGCAGGCATTTTTTTCCTGAAAAAAACGACCATGTATGGAAAGGCGTTTTCAGCCGAAAAAAACAACCATGTTTTGTCAGGTCATTTTAGCCCCCAAAAAACGATCACGTATAGAAAGGCGTTTTTAGCCGAAAAAAAACGACCATTTTTAGCCCACAAAAAACCTACTATGTATAGGAAGGCGTTTTTAGTCGAAAAAAACCGACCGTGTATACCAAGGCATTTTTAGCTGAAAAAAAACGACCATGCCGACGTTTTTAGGGTAAAAAAGATGAGCATGTGGACTAAGGTTTTTTTTTTTTTGATAAACCTTCCCAAAATGTCTATTGATAGTCACAGAACTATCTGAACATGCAAATGCCACACAGGCAGGACGGAGCTGGATGCGCACCCTGAACCTCTGTGCTGGGAAGCCGACGCAGTAACCAGTTGGCTACCGGCCGCCTTCTTCTCAACAACTTTTTTACGACTATCAGAATGCATTAAATGGTGATTTGTCACATTCTGAAAATATTAAAGTGTAATATTCACCTGTTATGCATGCTTTTGGGGTGTGGGAGAAAAGTGCAGTTCCTCAAGAGCCAGAGCAGGGTTTTGAACCCTGCACCTCTGGGCTGGGAAGCCGACCAACTAACCATTAGGCCACAGGTACCGATGTGCAACTCAGTGTATTTCTGTGATATACTTCTCGAAAGGCCACTGTTGCAATGAGGAAAACGTCTCATCATATTCAAGTCACCATCTAAACATGGAAGTGCCTCATGTGAAGGCTGGAGCTGGATTTGAACCACAAACTTCTGCGCTGGGAAGCCAACACACAAACCAGTTGGCCACCGGGGTGCCTTTTTCTCAATGACCTTATTGCGACTCTACGACAACACACTTTATGATGTGGCAGATTCAGAAAATATTAAAGTGTTCTATGAACCTGCTGCGCATGTTTTTTGGGGTGTGCGAGGAAACTGGAGTTCCTGGAGAACCCCTATGCAGTTGCCACACAGGAAAACTAGAGCCGGATTTGAACCCTGTACCTCTGCGCTGTGCAGCCGATGCACAAACCATTAGGCCACAGTCACCTAAGTGAACCTCAGTAAAGTTCTCTGATATACTTCTCTCAAGGCCAATGTTAGAGCCAAATGTCTCTTGATATTTTAAAAATAAAGGCAATTTTAGCTGAAAAAAACCAACCATGTATCGTAAGGTGCTTTTCGCGTCCAAAAAACGACCATGTATAAATGGTTATTTTTCACCGAAAAAACCCACCATGTATAGTCAGGCGTTTTTACAGCCCAAAATCATCCATGTATATAAGACGTTTTTTACCGAAACAAACCGACCATGTACTGTAAGCCGTTTTAAGCAGAAAAAAACGACCATGGAAAGCAAGGCATTTTTAGCCGAAAAAAACGACTATGTATAGTAAGGCGTTTTTAGCAGAAAAAAAACGACCATGTGTAGTAAGGCGTTTTTAGCTGAAAAAAACGAACGTTTTTAGCCGGGAAAAACGACCATGTATAGTAAGGCAGTTTTAGCCGAAAAAAACGACCATGTTTAGTAAGGCGTTTTTAGCCGAAAAAAACAACCATGTATAGTCAAGCATTTTTAGTCGAAAAAAACCGACCGTTTTCAGTCGGAAAAAACGACCATGTATAGTAAGGCGTCTTTAGACGAAAAAAAAAAACTACCATGAATAGTAAGGTGTTTTTAGCCGAAAAAAACGACCATGTACAGTGAGGCGTTTTTTGCGGAAAAAACGACCATGTATAGTAAGGCATTTTTAGGTGAAAAAAACGACCATGTATAGTAAGGCATTTTTAGTCGGAAAAAAACGACCGTTTTTAGCCGATAAAAACGACCACGTATAGTAAGGCGTTTTTAGACGAAAAAAAAACTACCATGAATAGGAAGGCATTTTTCGCCGAAAAAAACGACCATGTACAGTAAGGCATTTTTAGCCCAAAAAAAACGCTCATGTATAGTAAGACGTTTTTAGCCGAAACAAAACGACCATGTATATAGAGTAAGTCGTTTTTAGCCGAAAAAAACGACCATGTTTCGTCAGGCGTTTTTAGCCGAAAAAAACGACCATGTGTAGAAAGGCGTTTTTAGCCGAAAAAAACGACCATGTATAGTCAGGCATTTTTAGTCGAAAAAAACCGACCGTTTTTAGCCGGAAAAAACGACCATGTAGAGTAAGGCATTTTCAGATGAAAAAAATTACCATGCACAGTAAGGCGTTTTTTGCGGAAAAAAACGACCGTTTTTAGCCGGGAAAAACGACCATGTATAGTAAGGCATTTTTAGGTGAAAAAAAACGACCATGTATAGTAAGGCGTCTTCAGACGAAAAAAAACTACCATGAATAGTAAGGCGTTTTTAGCCGAAAAAAACGACCATGTACAGGTAAGGCGTTTTTTGCGGAAAAAAATGACCGTTTTTAGCCGGGAAAAACGACCATGTATAGTAAGGCATTTTTAGGTGAAAAAAACGACCATGTATAGTAAGGCGTTTTTAGATGAAAAAAAACGACCATGTATAGGAAGGCGTTTTTAGCCGAAAAAAAAACGGCCGTGTATCGTAAGGCGTTTTGAGCTGAAAAAAAACGACCATGTTTAGGAAGGCGTTTTTAGCCAAAAAAAAAAACGACCATGTATAGTAAGGCATTTTTAGTCGAAAAAACCCGACCGTTTTCAGCCGGAAAAAACGACCATGTACAGTAAGGCGTCTTTAGTCGAAAAAAAACTACCATGAATAGTAAGGCGTTTTTAGCCGAAAAAAACGACCATGGATAGGATAGTAAGGCGTTTTTAGCCGAAAAAAATTAACATGTATAGTAAGGCGTTTTTTGCGGAAAAAAACGACCATGTATAGTAAGGCGTTTTTACCCGAAAAAAACGACCATGTATATTTAGGCATTTTTAGTCGGAAAAAAAACGACCGTTTTTAGCCGATAAAAACGACCATGTATAGGAAGGCGTTTTTAGCCGAAAAAAAACGACCACGTATAGTAAGGCGTTTTGAGCCGAAAAAAACGACCGTTTTTAGCCAGGAAAAACGACCATGTATAGGAAGGCGTTTTTAGCCGAAAAAAAACGACCACGTATAGTAAGGCGTTTTGAGCCGAAAAAAACGACCGTTTTTAGCCAGGAAAAACGACCATGTATAGGAAGGCGTTTTTAGCCGAAAAAAAACGACCACGTATAGTAAGGCGTTTTGAGCCGAAAAAAACGACCGTTTTTAGCCAGGAAAAACGACCATGTATAGGAAGGCGTTTTTAGCCGAAAAAAAACGACCACGTATAGTAAGGCGTTTTGAGCCGAAAAAAACGACCGTTTTTAGCCAGGAAAAACGACCATGTATAGGAAGGCGTTTTTAGCCGAAAAAAAACGACCACGTATAGTAAGGCGTTTTGAGCCGAAAAAAACGACCGTTTTTAGCCAGGAAAAACGACCATGTATAGGAAGGCGTTTTTAGCCGAAAAAAAACGACCGTTTTTAGCCAGGAAAAACGACCATGTATCGGAAGTAGTTTTTAGCCCAAAAAAACGACCATGTATAGTAAGGCGTTTTTAGCCCAAAAAAACGACGATGTATAGTAAGCCGTTTTAGCCGAAAAAAACCGACCGTTTTTAGCCGGACAAAACGACCATGTATATTCAGGCCTTTTTAGCCAAAAATAACGACCATGTATAGGAAGGCGTTTTTAGCCCAAAAAAACGACGATGTATAGTAAGCCGTTTTAGCCGAAAAAAACCGACCGTTTTTAGCCGGACAAAACGACCATGTATATTCAGGCCTTTTTAGCCAAAAATAACGACCATGTATAGGAAGGCGTTTTTAGCCCAAAAAAACGACGATGTATAGTAAGCCGTTTTAGCCGAAAAAAACCGACCGTTTTTAGCCGGACAAAACGACCATGTATATTCAGGCCTTTTTAGCCAAAAATAACGACCATGTATAGGAAGGCGTTTTTAGCCCAAAAAAACGACGATGTATAGTAAGCCGTTTTAGCCGAAAAAAACCGACCGTTTTTAGCCGGACAAAACGACCATGTATATTCAGGCCTTTTTAGCCAAAAATAACGACCATGTATAGGAAGGCGTTTTTAGCCCAAAAAAACGACGATGTATAGTAAGCCGTTTTAGCCGAAAAAAACCGACCGTTTTTAGCCGGACAAAACGACCATGTATATTCAGGCCTTTTTAGCCAAAAATAACGACCATGTATAGGAAGGCGTTTTTAGCCCAAAAAAACGACGATGTATAGTAAGCCGTTTTAGCCGAAAAAAACCGACCGTTTTTAGCCGGACAAAACGACCATGTATATTCAGGCCTTTTTAGCCAAAAATAACGACCATGTATAGGAAGGCGTTTTTAGCCCAAAAAAACGACGATGTATAGTAAGCCGTTTTAGCCGAAAAAAACCGACCGTTTTTAGCCGGACAAAACGACCATGTATATTCAGGCCTTTTTAGCCAAAAATAACGACCATGTATAGGAAGGCGTTTTTAGCCCAAAAAAACGACGATGTATAGTAAGCCGTTTTAGCCGAAAAAAACCGACCGTTTTTAGCCGGACAAAACGACCATGTATATTCAGGCCTTTTTAGCCAAAAATAACGACCATGTATAGGAAGGCGTTTTTAGCCCAAAAAAACGACGATGTATAGTAAGCCGTTTTAGCCGAAAAAAACCGACCGTTTTTAGCCGGACAAAACGACCATGTATATTCAGGCCTTTTTAGCCAAAAATAACGACCATGTATAGGAAGGCGTTTTTAGCCCAAAAAAACGACGATGTATAGTAAGCCGTTTTAGCCGAAAAAAACCGACCGTTTTGAGCCGAAAAAAACCACCATGTATAGTAAGGCCTTTTCAGCGGAAAAAAACGACCATGTATAGTAAGGCATTTTTAGCCCAAAAAAACGACCA